GTCAACCAGGACAGCCCCACAGCATTCAGAGCCTTAAGGAACTCCGGGTGGACCTCATCCACCCCTGGGGCTCAGCCACTGAGGAGCTTTTTAAGCACCTCAGCGACCTCTGCCCCAGAGATAGGGGAGTCCACACCCAAGTCCTCATACTCTTCCACATTGGAAGGCGTGTCGGTGGGATTAAGGAGGTCTTCGAAGTACTCCCTCCACCGACCCAAAACATCCTGAGTTGAGGTCAGCAGCACCGCATCCCCACCATAAACAGTGTTGATGTTGCACCGCTTTCCCGCCCGGAGCCTCGAAGCCGTCCGAAAGTCGTTTCCCATGGTCTCGCCAAACTCCTCCCAAACCCAAGTTTTTGCCTCAGCGACCGCCGAAGCCGCATCCCGCTTGGCCTGCCGGTAGCTGTCAGCTGCCTCTGGAGTCCCACAGGCTAAAAAGGCCCAAAAGGACTCCTTCTTCAGCTTGACGGCATCCCTCACCACTGGTGTCCACCAGCGGGTTCGGGGATTGCCGCCGCGACAGGCACTGACCACCTTACGGCCACTGACCACCTTACGGCCACAGATCCGGTCAGCCGCCTCCACAATGGAGGCGCGGAACATGGCCCATTCGGACTCGATGTCCCCCGCCTCCCCCGGGACATGGGCGAAGTTCTGCCGGAGGTAGGAGTTGATTCCGCCAGATGTTCCCAGCAGACCCTCACTATACGCTTGGGCCTGCCAGGCCTGGCCGGCTTCCTCCCCCACCAGCGGAGCCAGCCCACCACCAGGTAGTGATCAGTTGACCCTCTCTTCACCCGAGAGTCCTAGTCATGCGGCCGCAAGTCCGATGACACGACTACAAAGTCGATCATCGAACTGCGGCCTAGGGTGTCCTGGTGCCAAGTGCACATATGAACACCCTTATGCCTGAACATGGTGTTCATTATGGACAATCCGTGACGAGCACGGAAGTTCAACAACAAAACACCTCTCGGGTTCAGATCGGGCGGGCCGTTCCTCCCAATCACGCCACTCCAGGTCTCACTGTCATTGCCCACGTGAGCATTGAAGTCCCCCAGCAGAACAAGAGAGTCCCCAGGAGGAGTGCTCTCCAACACCCCTTCCAGGGACTCTAAAAAGGGTGGGTATTCTGAACTGCCGCTTGGCGCATAAGCGCAAACAACAGTCAGGACCCATCCCCCCACCCGAGGGTGAAGGGAGGCTACCCTCTTGTCCACTGTGGTAAACCCCAATGTACAAGCGCCCACCCTGGGGGCAATAAGTATGCCCACCCCCGCTCGGTGCCTCTCCCCGCAGGCAACTCCAGAGTGGAAGAGGGTCCAACCCCCCTCAAGGAGGCTGGTTCCAGAGCCCAGGCTATGCGTCGAGGTGAGTCCGACTATGTCTAGCTGGAACTTCACAACCTCGCGCACCAGCTCAGGCTCCTTCCCCATCAGAGAAGTGACATTCCATCTCCCTAGAGCTAGCTTCTGCAGCCGAGGAACGGACCGCCAAGGTCCCCGCCTTTGGCCACTGCCCACATCGCACCCGACCCCTATGGCCCCTCCTATAGGTGGTGAGCCCTTTGGAGGGGGGGGTTCCATCTTCTTCCCCATTTTTTAATCCTGAACTCAGCATTGTCTCAGTCTTAGCATTGGGGCCGTCCTTGTGGTACTCTCTTCAGGTTTAAATTTAGGGGGGTGGGTTCTATAGGCTAAAGTCATTGTTGCGGGGGGGGGGGCTACCTACAGCAAAAATTGCTGCTGTAACAACCGGGGAAACCGCTGGACAAATTTTATCGCTAACAGTCCATTAGCAAATGTTATCAATTTATCATGGGCAGAGCAGCATTTTTTGGGGTGACTCCAGGCAAAAAGCTTGAGAACCACTGGTTTGTACCAAAACTGACGGGTAACGGGATATCCTGGATGGAATCTCCGTTAAAATTTTAATTATCTCACATAAATCTAAGACATATAAGAACAAACATGTCGTCTGGCTCCTGGCTGCATTTTCGTTAAAGGTTTTATTAGAGGTGTATTGGGAGCATATCTACAGAACTCGCTCAGTTACTTCACTTCTGATGTAGTTCGTAAAACTGAAGGTTTAAGGCTTTGACCGTGCCAGTCGTATCAAAGAGGCGGGAAATAATGAAAGCCAGGCGAGTGTTTTGTGTTCCCTTTGAGTGGTCTGGCTTCCCTGGGACACATCTCCAGTAGTGGGGTGCAGCAGAGACGCACAAAGACTTCACAGAGTATAAACGGCATGTCTGTCTCTTTGAGAGCCTGAACGTGGCTTACAGGCAGAGCAGGAAAGTAACAGTTAGACAGACCTGCTGGGTGATCGCAGGAGAGACTAATAGCTGGTGAGACATGCACCCGCTTTCCCATAATGCCTTGCATGTTACTCACTCGAACATGGCTCTCATTTGAACTGAAAAGCCCATCTATCTGCGGTCGCAGGACGAGCGCAGTCTGCATTTCTAACGCCTGCAAATCACCCATTATTATGGTATCAGTAAGAGAAATTGCTAGAAATTACTTTGTCATTTAAGACTAATTTTCTACTTTAAGAAAAATAAAAAGCCTGATAAAAACAAACAAAAAACACCTGGTAATATGCCTGTATATATACACCTGTATATATTCACACACACACACAGGTTTGAAATTATATCTTTGTTGGGACTCTACATTAATTTCTATGGGGAAAACTCTAATCACAACATGATGACCTTAACGCCTACCCAGCCCTAACCTTAACCATAAGTATCCAAACAAAATACAAGATTTTGGGCATTTTTACTTTTTTGATTGTATTCACAGATCTTTGCGGGGACCTGACGAATGGTCCCCACAATGTCAAAATAACAGGCTCTTATTACATTGTGGGGGTCATTTGGTACCGACAATGTAATATAAACACACACACCATATAAGATTGACACTAATTTTAATATTACTTTGAGCAGTTGCTGTAGTGTGACCAGCATCATCCCAGATGTTATCTGACTCCCAGGAACAATACGGCATTTCAGAACTGATTTACCGCTTAGGCTCTAAGCAGTGATGTTGTGTCATCCAAAAACACATCAAATTACACAAAATAGCGATTTCTGAGGTTCCGGAACATGGCTGCCAGGCTCCCACTGCGTTTAAATGGGCTTATCATTAAAGAGTCACATTCAAATTCAAATGCCTGTCTCCTTCATGTAACCACTAGCCTCCCAATATGCCACACAAATATGCCTTTCGATATTGGAATGTATTTTCTATGACCGACAGAGCTGGAAGATATCAATCATGCACTGCGGCTTATGTTTCTGAGACACTAACAAACACAGAAGGTGCTTTCGGGGATCATTGGTGCTATAATAACGGTACACCTACTGCCTTATTAGTAACCACCATCAGTCGTCAAATGGTGTCTTCACAGATTTACTTCAGATGTTACATCGTAGATTGAATCATATGGAATCCTTTCCGTCAAGAACAACTGAAGTTAATATTAGTTGAATTACCAAAGAGTCCAAAGAGGACAGTCATGCCACAGTTTTGAAACTCACAGGAGAAAACCAGAATGTTTGTTCCTAAAACAACAGCCTCTGTCATGTATGGCAAGGCACTGACCGGGGAAACAGGAGAAGGAGATGAGGACTGGAGCAAAAAGGGTTTTAATTGGCACGCGATGGGGCATACGAGACAGAAACGCTGAAAACCACACAACAATGCAATGACAGAACTCGGGAAACAAACTCTGACGTGGACATAAATACACAGAACTAATAAGGACAACTGGAAACAGCTGGTGAACACTGGGAATCCACATGAGGTTAATGAGGGGGGCGTGGCACAGGAGGATCGGCACGATCGGGGTGTGACAGCCTCTCCCCAGGTTATGATGGGGCTACGTTCCGATAAACCTAACGTAAGGTGAAAATGCATTTTAATACAGTACACCTAACCTAGCAAACATCATAGCCTAGCCTAGCCTACCTTAAATGTGCTTAGAACAGTTACATTAGCCTACAGCTGGGCAAAATCATTAACACAAAGCCTATTTTGTAATATGTTGAATAGTGTTGAATATCTCGGGTAATTTATGGAATGACGCACTGAAAGTGAAAAACATTTACCCGCCGTAAAGTCGAAATATCGTAACACGGACCATCGTAACCTGGGGAGCGTCTTTATAAGGTTTTATTAAAGTAGTATACACTGTATGTGAGGCATATTCATGTGCTTCATCCAAAATAATCGCTTCTTACTTAAATTATGCACAGGGTTGAGCTGTACTGAAATCATGTCAACAGACATTCTAACGATGTCAGAGGCCTGTGATCAACTCTGACTGTCACATTAAGGAACCGCTGTGGCACAGGATGCAGTACAACATCTGAAGCATGGTAATCTTTATGGATCTGTCAGAACAATGGAAATTTCCGGATATAATTATATGCAAAGCAGCTACCATGCTTTGCCATGAGGAAAGCACATCAGGGCTTGCTTACTCATAGTGATTCTGCCCCCCCCCCCCCCCCCCCCCCCC